CAATATGCGGTTTACCTCGAGTCCATTGCAACCCAACAATACAACAACTTTATGTCTTCTCTGGAAAATGACGCTAATATCCTTGATATTGACAACCTCAAAAAACATATTCAGCAAAAATATAATACATATAACTCTACAAAACAACAAATTATATTGAAAAAACTGCAAGGTTTGTACCGAGGTAATATCATTCTTCCTAATAATAAAATTACTTCATATATCAACCTATCTACACACAACTTAAGCCAAGATGAAATTTCATTTTTGAACCTCGGTTTAAACATGCACATACGTCGACCATACAGTAAAGCTATTAAGGAAACTGAACTTGAAATGCTGTACAACGAATGTCAGAAACTCAAAAAACAGAATTTAATTAATTTCGACAGTAGTTTGCATAGCCAACTATTGGCCGAAGCACATCGCCATCGCGACGCATGTCATAAACCTGCTCTGTCGACAGAAATGCTCCAGGCTGCCAAACGCCTCCGTAGCAATCCCGACATAGTTGTGCGAAAGTCTGACAAGTCCAATATGTATGTGTTGCTCAACAAAATTGATTACTATACGCAAATAGACAATATATTATCTGACAACTCAAAGTTTCAAACCATCGACAAAGACCCTACCACCAATATCAAAATTTCTGCCAACAAATTAATAGCGCAAATCAATAAATGTTCATCATCTGTCAAATTCGCCCCCATCGTCGGCGAATACAGTCCCGGCTACATCTACGGGAATATTAAGACGCACAAAGTGAACAATCCACTCCGACCCATCATTTCGCAATGCCCAACACCTACATATTTATTGGCGAAGGCTGTTAACAAACTTCTGGAGCCATATGTACCCCGCACCTACTCAGTCAAATCAAGCTTTGAATTTATTGATATCATTAATGATAACAAACGGTGCGTTGGGCATATGGCTTCGTTGGATGTTGAAAGTTTATTTACCAACGTTCCAATCGACTATACCATACAAATCATCTGTAATTACATCTACAATCACCCAACACTTCCACAACTTGACATTCCTCCCACCCTGCTCATCGAACTTCTGAAACTATGTACTGTTGAAACTCCGTTTGTTGCTCCAGACGGTTCTCTCCATTTGCAAATTGATGGTGTTGCAATGGGATCTCCGTTGGGACCGCTGTTCGCAGAATTCTATATGGCCGATCTCGAATCAAGGATATTTGCTGACCCTACCAACAGACCCCCAATATATGCACGCTACGTCGATGACATTTTCATCATTTGCGAAAAGGTCACCGATGTTTACAACTTACAGAATATATTTCAGAACAACTCCCATCTCAAATTCACCATCGAATTTAGCACCGAAAAACAATTGGCCTTTCTCGATTGCTTAATTGAAGAAAAAGAAGAACAGCTAACTTCGAGGGTTTATGTTAAACCGACTAATTCT